GGTGTTCCTATGGGCGAAAAATATGCGATGTTGCAGTCTATTACCATAACTTATGGCATTAGTATTTGACTGATAAGTAGGTTTGATATATCTTAGTCATGAGTTTATTTATGTACACATATTTTTGATCTGAACCTCAGATAACCCTGCATATCTAACTAACAAGAAAGCAAAATACACTGTTATCTCATGCAATATCTCGTGATGTGATTGAAATAATTATCATATCAGCACGCTCGACATCAATAGCGTTGTAAGCGTTTCCTTATTGCTCGAAGAGTAAAATTGTAGATCTTATTTTCTTTGTTATTTTAAGATCAATTTTATTTGGGATCAGGAGAAGCGCTGAAGCTGATGGTCAAAGAAACATATCTTGGAATTAGGATGAAAATATTTCTGAGCTTAAATGGGTTGAACCTGATACGTTTAGCGTTAGATTATAGGCCGTATTTCAGCATTGTTTAAGGACCTTTTGAACTTATCATCTCGTTTTGTTTGTAAAAATATTACGCTGTTAAAACCAGATTGAAATGGGTCACCTTGCTTACGCAAATCGGGTGAATAATTGAACAAAAAAATCTAATTTTACAGTTGTTAACTAAATTTTCTTCATATGATTCAATGTTTTTAAAATTCTCATAGTTAAATAATTCTTTAAATATTTACAAAGATTCACTGTTACTCAGCTTAATTCAAATTCCCACTCATCTGTGATAATCATTAATCTTGCATGGGGTCAAAATGGTGCCTGTCGTAAAACGAGCAGTCAAAAGCAGTTTTAGCTAATTTTATAAAAACAAACGTTTTCAGTGTTGCATTTCTGCCAGACCATTGCATGGAAAATTCGTTTAGCTTGTTTCCTTTGCTGGAGTGAACAGCTAAACAAACAACCAAAACTGCCTCGTTAAACACCAGATGTTTTCTAAAGTTTTCTTTGAACAATTTTCAAGAAAACTTGTTCGTCTGTTTGCTGTCGTCAAAACAAACCGACAAAAATGATAAGAAAACAATCTGTTTTCTCGACAAATTGGAAACAGTATATCTAAAGTAAACCATTAAACTCCACCAAAGAAATGTATTTACTTTAACACACGGCGATTTTGCTTTAACCCCTGCAAAGCTCGAGTAACATGGGTTTTATGACATCTTTTCTTTGTTTTAGATAGGTGAACGGTGCCTTCACAATAGAATGCCAATTTTGGAAACTGATATTCAATGTTGCGGTGAGGAGGACATTTAATGAAGTCAAACAAAAGGACAGATTTTTATTCACGCCCAGACCAAACCCGAATAACTGACCACCATGTAAAAATTCTTCGTATCACTGCATGTGAGACAATTTTCTTTACAGATATCGACTGACAGACATGTATCTTTTTGATCAAACCAGACTGGGTGTCACTTTTGCTGGCGAAACCCAAAAAACGACCAGTCGCTGACTCTGCCTTTTTTATTAACTTCCGGTGGGTTGTTTAGAGAGAATGCTGAAGTCTAACTGACCTAACTCATATCATATCGATATAAACATGTCTTCGCTTATTGTAATCAGGTTTTGCCCTGTTACATGTTTGGAAGCAAACAGGGTGTCAGAGCAAAATACAGTATCATGATTCGAAAGATTAGTGTTGAATGCCAAAAGCAAATCAAAAAGCAAACAGTTTTCTAACATGGGCTAAGGAAAGCTCAAGAGTAAAATATGTCCTTACCATTTAAGTGATTGCTTCCATTTTCCTGCGTGCTTTAAGGTGAACAAGAACCAGGATATTTATGAAATCATTCAGAGATTGGAGACAGTCAAAGAGATGATACAGAATTAAAGCACACTCAGAAAGACCGGTGATATGGCAGTCCTCGTTTTAATTTTATACATATGTAGTAAAATTAAGTTGCATGCCTCTTCTAAAACGACAAAATGCTTCACTCGACAGGACTTCCTCATAAGACCCCATAAAGAGCCAAGTCTATTTTTTCCGATGACTCAAACCTTAAAAATGTCTGACGCACATTTCTAAGCGGAAAAAGTGCCTGTGGTTTGAATTGATCTAAATATAATTCTGCACAAGTAAACACCAGCGCAAGCCACTCTTGATTATGAATAGAGTAAAGTTCCGATATATTCCGGTGTGAAGTAAGTTAGGAAAATACGGTTTTTAACTGCTCATTACAGTGCTAGCGTATCGGCATATTAACTTGAAAAGGCTTTTTTATTACGTCATTCTTGGGGAAACATCGATTCAATATGCACTTGCGGCAAAGCAAGGTATATTTTTTCCCTTGTATTTTACTTCAAACATGATATTTCAGCATGGAGGTACTGTACATATTAGCACGAAATGAAATGTGCACAGAAAATAATTTCCGTGTCGACCTCGGTCGTTGCCAGACCTGCATATTCACCTTCCAATACTGTAGATTTCATTGCATCTGTGTTCTTTGTCTTAATACCCATTCATGTATTAATGAAAATTCCCGCTTATTGTAAATGCTTGCTGTATCTAAGACGGTAGTTACTGATAAAACTGAAGCACAAGCACTGTCCGACTGGAACACTGACATCCGAATGAAAACAGTAATTAGCCTTTTTTGCGAAACTGGAACCGACACAATAGGACTTAAAGTATCTTAAATAAAACCTCAGTGGAACCTTTCAATCGAAATCTCGCGGTCGCGAGCATAAAAAGGGCTTATTCCATAACGTTGTTTTTTCAGACATTTAAACCGATTTATCTCCCAAAGCCGAGTCTCTCCTTCGTGACTTATCAACAACATCTGAAAGTTTCACGTGACTTGAAGAAAACACATCATGACTGTTGGTGTTAAATCGTGTTTTATAATAGTATCACAAGAACTTTAATCTCTCAGCATGAAATTGTAATATTGGTGAAATTGTGAGTGCATCTGGTTTACAGTCCTGTGAGCCATAATTAGGTATAAAAGAAAACTGCAACCTGCATCTTCAAAGTGTTATCATGTTCTACTGGGTGTGGAAAAACAGGGAATGCTATACGGAGTGAATACGCGCATTTCACCCGCAGCATTCACAATATAAAAAGAGAATATTATAAGTAGATTAGCAAGCAATGGAAAAGTTATGAAAGCTTTAGAAAGATTAGAAATTAGAACATTATCAACAAAAGGAAAGGAGACTTTGAGGCATCGATTTTCTAATACCCTAGAAAAGAATTTCCTAACCTCTCGTTTTAAACAAAGGCTTTTCCGCCGAAAAATGCTTCCAGAAATTGCCTCAGTCATCGGCCTTTTTTTCGGAATATTAATCCAGAGTTTAGTTAATCGCCTGTAAAAATAGGAGTTTCTCGTTTTGTTCTGTCCGGTACAGGGAAATCCCGATTCCTTATCTTTAACAAACATCTGAGAATTAAAAACGGGGATAAACTCGCCCAGCTTAATCAAGCTCTAGATTTGCAGTGGATTATCTAACCTTTTAAAATGCGGTTATTCTTGATTTAATTAATGCGAAATGAAAACAAATTTTTGCAAGGAATGTAGCGCTCTCCGATGTTACAAGTGCAACTGTTTTTTTTTTGTTGTTTTTTTTTTTTGCCCAAGAATTAAGGAATTTTGCTTGTAAACATGTAAAAATTATTGCTGGAGAGAACACTGTCTGTTCGCTTCCTGTTTATGGTTAGTTAGCTTGCTACACCCTTCCGTACAATCAACGCGGGCACAGATCATCTTTGACAAATGAAAAGCAAGATCGTCCTAAAAATAGATTCTAAGGCAAAGAGTCCTTTACTTGATTTAAAGTTGAGCTTTATTAATTCGCAATGTTTCCATTTGTAATTACACTTGTTGTTGTCGAAGATTCACTAAGGGCAGGTTTAGTTTAGTTTCAAAAGTTAATGGAGACTTGCTTGGCGAACTCAACTTTTAAATTATATTATTTCAAGCCATTAACATTAAGAGGGAGGGTGGATTGAGTAACGTCATAAAAATTCCTGAGGTTAAAGTGGTAGGTGCGTTTTGTATAACGCGAAGATTGCGGTGAGCGAACAAAAACTTGAATAAACTGTGATGTCCAGACTTCCTTCCTGCTCAGTTGCAAATTAAATTTTTTCGGGGCAGACAAATCCAAGATAGTTTTGGGTTGCAGAAATTATGCCTCGATTGCAATTGTATCGATTTATATCAATGCTCTGAGCATAACAGCTCGGAGGTCCGGAGAAACTGGGACACTAAATTGTAAATCATTAAATGAAGAATTTTAACGGAGAATGTAAAATCGCTTGACCTGTAACATGGCAAAATTCCTCAGCGTAATTCAGCCATCGACACATGTATAATATTCTCACGCAAACCGATTCGTATAAAAAATCCCATCGAAAAGCAAACGTAACCTCAAACACTGATTTTGTTTGCTTTTTGCGGCCGGCTCGAAATAAATGTGAGTTAAATGATTGCTCTCCTAATCAATGACTTCACATCTATTGAATTCCAATTTGGAAAAACATTTAGACCGAAAGCTAAACCTAACCATGTCATTATCCCCACTAATCGTTCAAGTACTACAGATATATATATTTTTTTCTCTGCATGGTCTAATGATGAGAAAAATGCATGCAACACTGGAGATAATTATTTTAACACCTAACGTAATCGATTCTCTTAGCACTTCGAGCCCATTTCTGTACACTTAACAAAATTTACAGCCTACCAGATTGTCCATATACGCGTTTGTAACGATTTAAATAAAATTTTCAAACAGTTTATGGGGAGTGATTAGCAAATATTGCTAACGTTCTCCTGAAGTAATGACTTGTGAACAACAATTTTGAAATGTACTTCAAATGTTCTTTCGCTGGATCGATCGCGAAACGCGTTCGGTGTTTTTCAAAGTCTTTCTCTAGAGGCTTGCACAAGACTTAAGATGACCCTCTTGAGTGGTATAAACAGTCTCTCGGTGAAACTCACAAGGCGGATCTCACATCTTCTGGTTCTTCGGCAGCGCTTTCCAGTGGCTTCGACTCGATCAACTCTCTGATCATGAAGCTTCGTCGAGCCTTCGGGACGGGTTGAAATGCACCAACATGCACGTGCGGGATCTCCAAAGACCCATAGCGTGCGGTTGGACGAATAACACTCTGTGGTGTCGGGGACAATTGGAGATGAATTGGAGCCGCTACACAAGGTTCATTTGCAGTGATTCTCTGCGGAAAGGCGCTAAATTCACAGTGGGGCGGGAATTGCAAGCTACAAAACTGATGGCTAAATCCTTCGACGAACAAACTGAAGTGATGATTCGAGTTCACTTTGCGCACGAAGGCAGGCTCGTTCGGTTTTTGCGGAGGACGACACTTAAACCTCTTGGCTCGGCGTAAAAAGCTGCCACTTCCAAACATGTCCCCAGAGGCTGGATGCAAAGTCCAGTAATTCCCCTTGCCTGGTTTGCCAAAATAGCTTCGAGGAACTTTTATAAAGCAGTCGTTCAGGGACAGATTGTGTCGAATAGAATTCTGCCATTTCTGCTGGTTGCTGCGAAAATATGGAAATCGCGTCATGATGTATTCGTAGATTTCATTCAGTGTTCTCATGCGATATGGAGAGCTGTCGATGGCCATTGCTATCAATGCGATGTAGGAAAATGGCGGCTTCACTTCTTCGGAGAGGTAAGGCTTGCTTCTTGACTGCATGGTAGGTTTAGTTGCTATGTTGTTTCGCTTCGGCTCGGGGCTTTTTATATCGGCTGCAAAGAGCGAGGATTGGATAGACGGCTGATGAAAGTTTCCTGTATGGTACACCAGTGGAATATCAGAAGTTATTTCCTTGTGTCCGCTCATCGGAACCAGCATAGTGTCAGCACTCGACGGGCTTCCTGTGTCTATTCCTGTCTGTTCTTCAACGCGATCCTTCCCGACTGAAGCACCTCTCACGACCGGCAGCTCCATGAAAAATTCAATCAAAGACCTCTTGCACTTATCTAGCGGTTTTGTTACTTCCTAAGCTGTTTCCAGCAGTGAAATCCACTCAGGCCCGTGCGAGTCAGTCTACCTTGCAACAGTCAACACTGCAACTGATCCGAGAGCTGAGGTCTCGCACTTCTTCAGCGTAAAAGCTTCTAAACTCTTTTATTTTGAACCTGCCAGCAAGACTTCAGACCACCCACAAATTGATGTGCAACCTATGTTTTCACAGCAAACCTTTTGCGGCGCTAAATTTTGTACGCTGTCTTCGAGCAGACCAGAAAGTCCTCAGAATCATGTAATGCGGTCGAAAGGGGTGTGCTTTGACTTGTCAGCTCGGCTCATTTATATCTTTCTACTCATCATTTGAAGGCGGTCGGTCAGCCTTTGATTACTGCGGCACACATGAGGAATGCTACGGCATCTGGTGTAAATTAAAACTATCTGTCAACTCAACATCAACTCCGTTCTGTGCACATTCCTTACAAAAACAAAAGAGTTCTCAAGTTGTTTAGGGTTGTTTTTCGCTTTGTTATTTTATCTAATTTTATAACATGCGCGTTCAAAGTCCTCTTGAACTGCGGTCGTTAGCTTTAAATGCGACTGTTGAGACTCAGAAACTTTGAAAACTAGGAATTTGTACGTAATTCCGTGTATTGATTTCTATTTTAATCCACAAAAAGGACGTATTTCAGGAAATGCACGTAGCCTTTAACAAAGTAAACAACAGATTAGATCTAAAAACAAATTAGCAATTAAGCGGGCGATTAAAGCTAGCCGAGACGCGATAACAGATCGGCTATCACAAGTCCGAATTTAAATGGATTAAAAGTGATTCTTTTTAGCTTTGTGGATTTTTCTCACAAGGTTCTTTACCTAGCATTATTGTTCGAAGAAGCGTGTTTGGATTCCCAGGCGGGTTTAAGTCAACAGAAACCAGTTAGTGTCTCGAGAATTGTTTATAGTTGTTTTCATGTAGCGTGTTTATTTGAATTAATGAGTGTAACACGAGCCGTTTATGGAAAAAAGTGCCCAGTCTGACGCGTGCTATAGACAGCTGGCAAAGGAAATGAGCGAATACCTTTGTAAAAAGGCGTGGAGTAACTAAACAAGTTTGCTTAAAATAATCTGGCAATTTCCATACCAATTTTAGCGCATTGTTTTTAGGTATTTTTGCGGCAGGGTTGTGTTTATAAACGGCTTCTAATGGATTTTCGTTGCATCCCGTCGTTTGGAAAAGCGGAATGCGTTGTATAAATAATCTGCAATGTGGATTTGCAATAAAGTTATACCAGCTTATTCTAAACCAGACACGAGCCATGCACCTCAGTAAGCAATTTCAACACTTTTTTTTTTTATCAAGGCCGATCCCTTTAATTGTCGTCTACTGGAGCAGTGAAATTGGTCCAAGACTGCACTAGCGCGTGCTTTTTAGCGTTCAAGCACAGCTTCCATCGCATAATTTCTTTTGAAGTTAAGTTAAGTAAATACCCTCCAAGAGAGCCATTATCACTGCCTATTGACGCACGAGTGAAATTACATGAACGCGCGCGCGACCTGCGGTCCAATAATTGTGTTACCACATGCGACAAGATGTTGCATACTTCTACTTCCTGAAAATCGAATTCCAGGCCCTTTTTCTTCCTGAAAATGGACGCTTCCTTTGTTTTGGGCAGTTTCCGGCAACTGCAGAGTTTTCCTGTAAATGTTTTCACTTGTAACCAAGCCGAATCTACCTTGTGACCCGTAACATCGTTGCTCTGAAAAAGATTATGGCCATCCACGCGTTACCTTTGCTTCGTGGTTCCATCGCGCGTGACCTCGCGTGAAAGGTGTCCTAACAGCTGACAACTGAAGTAAGTTTCGGTTTCTGAAGGCAAATATACATTAGATTTCTTTCATTTGTCGTCATATCCTTACTGGGGTAGATTACTTTGAAGTGGTGTAATCGCCACAAGAACTGAGTGAATGATTTGTTGTTTATTCGTACCCTCAAAACCATCAACATGGGGGATGAACGAATTATCAATTGTACCGTGGGGGCGAAGAGGAAACCTTGTTGTTACACCCTTGTCAGAAATTAAGCTTTAAATTCAAACGCCGAGGGGTTCCAAGCTTATTTGAAGTACACTTAAACGGGTAACAATGGCTTTTTCGATTGGCGTTTTAGTAAGACTTGGTACGTGACTCTAAGATGGAATGTTAGAGTTTGTGGTTTTCTGAATCGAAGCGGCACAAGAGCAACTAAATCAAGGTAACCTCATTTGTTATACATTTAACACACGTTCACCTTTAATCGCTTGTTATCGGATGTATATCAAAATTGAAAGTGAAAGTTTAATTGCGTTTGGACAGTGTAACTGCGACTCTACAGTCCAGGAGAGCTCTCGCTTTTTCACAAGGAATAGCAGAAAAGATTGTGGCGGAGAATTCCACAATAAGAGGATAGATACTCCTTACAATGTCTTTAACTGATTACAGATACCATATTTAATCAGCTTTGACTAAATTCTGGCCCATTTGGTGCCTCAAAGTCTCCAATTGTCGTATCGCTAAAAGGCTTTCGGAATCTGCAATCGATTGCCGGCCAAACTTCTAAGTTGATTTGAGTGAAAGAATTGAAATTACGTTATAAGCTCTGGTCTGAAAACAATGCGACCTCGGAAAATCCGAGGATTTGTATGCGATACCAAAAATCGGGTCGCTCTAGATAAGAAAACCAAGCTTAAGGTTATTTTGATGTCGTATTAGGTTAAAAGAAGATTGCGAGATAAAATTATGCTGATTTCGAATGATAATCGAAACGCAAAGAACCTTCCACGGTTTTGGAAATCTCTTTAGTATATTATTAAAACTAACATTTTTCATAACTTCCCGTTTGTTCTGTGTTGCCAACAATTTGGTCACATTTTGCAATTTGAGAACCTTTCTCACTAACCATGTAATATTTTCATCAACGATACACAGAAATTTGATGTGAAGTATGATTTAGCTTAAAGTTTCAAGTAGGCACTATGAAAGAACAAAGATAGGAAAGAATTTAAATTGATTAACAGACACATCGAAAATTACCCTTGATGTTTGGCGCCGGAAGAATTCTTTACTCATGCCGCTCGGACAGAAATGCTTCAGTTGAACAACTAGCTTCGGCAATGGTAAAAAACCGATTAGTATTAAAACTATTGTCAGGATTCCTCAGCCTTAATTCTGAAACATCGGGTTGATAAGAATTATTTTTATAATCTGCAATCAAACTATAGTCTGTTATTTTGTAAATTTACGAATTTTTGCATTGGTGTCATTTTCTATGATTGTTCATCAGCCATTAATGTATAAGGCTTATTGTTTTAAATTAAATTGGAATGGAGAAGTTGTAGTTAGACATACCAAATGATACCGCTAGTTAGCTAGGCTGTACTCTATCAGTAATATTTATACGAAAGCTTTTAACAGAATATTTTAATTTTTTATTTAACTACACGTGTTTTTCCTGAAGCACTTTGCTAAAAAACCCTTAAAGAGGGAGGATAATAAAAACTACACTGAAGAAAACAGGCAAACAAAAACTGTGACAAGCAACAAACACAAATTGATTTAAATTTCGTGTTTTTATTGTTTTTTCTTTTACTGTACAATTACTCAGTCGTGAATTTCACTAGCCCCTCTGTAGTGCATGTAGGGCGATTTTGTTTCCTTCAATGTTGCACTTAGAGAAATGAGCTCATCAATTTGTCCGGACTTCATTTATATGTGGACTCTTCAAAAGATGATTCTATTCACTGTTGTTCACTGTTGGTCACTATTGAACTGAAAAGTTATGATATCTGCATTAAGCTACCTTTTCCCTCAAAACTGCCTCTGAAAGATTCAGGACTAGCTAGTAAGTAAGGCAAATTAAGTCTATTAATTTATTTAATCAAGTGCTACAGATTCACCTTTCCTTTCGCTTATGATAAGTTTCTATCTGCAGTCGCCTGTGATGAAAACGCTTGTTCCATCAACCTGACATTCAAATGAAATCAAAAGTTACTTAATTTATGAACTTAAATTGCTCATTGTCTTAATCGTTAACATAGCAATTTCAGCAGGTGAAGCAAACAATTACAATTAATGTAAGTTCAGTATCTTTAATTAAAACAGCAAATGAAATTTTAAGAAGACAACATAGCTGCATAAGTTGAAAGCAAACCAGATCGATCCATGCATGCTTTCATATCTTCGCTATTTGTCAAAGTGCCTCAAATGCAACTATTTATCTGGTTAGCCAGCATGGCTTGTTAGCAAGACTGGACAAAGTTAACTCTGATTTAGAATTTAAAGGCTTGTAAGAGTGTAGTCGCAGTTATTCAGTTAGCGAACAAAATTCAATAACAGAATGATGCTTAATATACGCAGTGCCCAATGTATTCACTTCGATCATTCAAAATAAAAAATAGGCAAGAAATTCCTGGGTTTTATTCAAGAAACCTGAGTGCTTATAAGATTGAATTACACATTCAAATGCTATTGTAGAAAACCGAGAGTTAATTTTAAATAATTTCGTTGATCTTGTTTGCTAAAGTATAGAAACATGCACTTCGCCTTTCTCAGAAGTTGAAAGACATAAAGGCCAATTTATTGTATTGCAGTACAAATGCACTCAGTGTCATTACTAAACTTATGAAATTTGGGGCCAGTTTTCACGAAGCTCTCCTCTAAGTTAAAATACATCCTAAGCATTGTTTCGTAAGAATAAGCTTTTGTAGTCGAAGAATACTTACGAGACAACTTAATCTAAAGGGCCCTTGTGAATCGTGGCCCCTGTTTCTGATCCCAAATCCTAACTAGTCTAATTACAAACTGCCTAATGTTAACGAAACAACCGTAAAGTTTACCTTATTTTAAGATTGTTAGACCCTTTGAAACCGGCTGAGTCTCTCGTGAATACAAGATTTGCCGGAGAAAATCGATCGCTGTGTCTTCATTCTGAGAAATGTTAAAGTGAGGTCATGTTTGTAAAGTCTATTAAGATAGAAAGCCTTTTCATAAAGCTATTCAGGCTGAGGAATTTAACCACAACAATAACTTTGTGTCCGTGTTTAAAAGGTTTTGGTTTTCAAGACACCTCCTCGAAGAATTGTAGTTCACTGTTTAGAGCGGAGGACTTTCGGAACCACTTCCAGGCTTGTGGTTTCGCCTGCCTGAAAACAAACTTCTCCAGTTGAGTTCGCTGTATGTTAGTCAGGAGACAGGAATAATCTATGCACGGACAAATGGTTTGGTCGCCGGGCACTAGATTCTTGATTGAGGATTTCCTTTCTTCACCTGAGGAAATAACCGAGTGGTGAGTTAACAGAATGAATGGATGGATGAAGCTCGATCAATTCGAAAGGCTATGACTGGCGCAAAACTGTATTCGATGGAGCTTTAGCTAGAGTGATGTTTAACCTAGAGGTCAATTGGCTTATGCAGGCCAGATTTATATAACTAAACTAGCCATAAGCAGTTAGCCAGTTCCATTCGTTGCTGGTTGAAGTGAGTCTCTGGGAGAAGTATTGAAATCACTCTTGTGTTTACGTCGACCAACCTTCCTTATCACTAAAGTTTGTCCTGGCAGTAACCGACTTCATGTGATTACGTAACTGTCACATATAATGTGGACTGAAACAAACATTACTTGATTAAAAATGTGAAGAACTAATACTAGTATAAGAACAATTTTATTCCAAGAAGTAGAATGTTTAAGTCTATATTGCCCACTATCAAGCTCTGCTT